TTCAATTTAGCAAAAATAACCTTTTACCTTTTTCTTTTCACACTTTCTTTACAGTTCATGCTTCTGATTGCAAAAATACTGAATTTATATCTTAATATATCTGTATTTATGTAGCATCTATCTCTACACCCAATATACAGTATATATGTTATATTTATTTATTTTAAATTTTTTAAGTGTCCTGTCTGGCGATGTGGCAATAGGAATAATTGTCTTGATGCCAACAGAGCCCAACAGATTTTACTTTTACAAGTGGAGTAGTCCGGCTATCACCATAGTGTTCTGCTTGATTTATGCTTTTAACTAGCTTTATTATAATGCACTTAGGGAGTATTTCAGATTATATGGACACTGCAATGGGAAAGTAGGAGAGGAAAGGTATAACAAGAAAAAGGAGAAAAGGTGAAAGAAAGAGGAGATAAAAGGGAGATAATGATAAAACCTCTTCAGTCTGCTTCATCACCTGCAAAGAGATGTAAAAAGAACAGCACAACCAACGGATATAGTATAAGAGATACAATAAAGTAACACCTAGATACTATCACTGAAATACAAGTAGTATTACTTAATCTGACATTTATACTGTGGTAACTGAAGATAAAAACATGGGCTTTCTGTATGGAAGTGAATCTCTAAGTTCCTGGAACCAAGCACCTGTAGTTGTTTGTGAGGGTGCAGTTGTGCATGTAAAGTTTATCCAAAGAAAAAAAGGTTAATAGTGGTTGTGAAGAGCCAAAGACCCGCCCCCCCAGAGCACTGAGGCAAGCGTCTGGGGACCCAAACCCTAGATGCCCAAAGGGACCCCAAAGTAAAGGCCAACAAGAGGGACCAACACAAGAAATCTGCCCCCCACCAAGGGAAGAGGAGAGGCGGCTGTAAAGTAAACAGAAGACAAAAAACACAAAAAAACAAACACACAGTCTCAATCACACCTTCCCACCATAGTGCCCCCACTCACAAAACACAAACTCTTCAAAAAAAAAGAAGAAAAAAAACAGCGTACACAAATTTGCAAATATACTCACATCCAATGATCCCGGGAGAGAGATGAGTGAGGAGTAATTTTTGTTGGGATCTGGAGGCTTTGTCCACTTTCTCCACCAGAGGGCGCACGAGATCTCCTGGGGGCATGAGCTGACTGCAACACCTGTCTTCCATCTGCTCATCAGGAGGTCCATTTAAGGAGGAGGAGGCTAACACTTCCCTGCCAGAGTGTTTGCCAGTAATGGTAGAACTAGACCTGAGCCAAACAACCAGATCTGAATCTCTGACTTTGTGAACCTGTCTGACCCTGTTTCTCTCTGCCTCACAGATTGAATCCTGCCTGAAGATCTGAATTCCTGGAGAGTGATCTCTGTCTGAAATCTGCCTGCCTGCACTCAGTGAAATCCTGGAAAGTAAACTCTGTCTGGAATCTGCCTGCCTGCACTCAGTTAAGCCTCTGCCTCTGCCCTCAGCCCTCTGCCTGCCGACTTGCCTCTGGACCCTCAAGGTTCCCCCCCTCTGCAGCTCCGTTCCACCCATGAGCAGGTATTAACTTCTACATCAGAAAACCTGCAATTAACCTGGATAAACACTGACCTCTCTGTCCTCCCCAGTGGTGATCCCCTCGTGACCAGTCAGCCAAACCAAGGACTAGTTCATTCACATTGTATTTATTTGTAAATAAACCTTTGAACTTTTTCTCTGCCTCCTGAGTGTTTTCTGCATGTGGGTTAGATGCCTTGAACCCAACATGACAATTTTAAGTTAAGACAAATCCCAGCTTGTTTTTTTGTTTGTTTTTGTTTTTTACTCTTTGTTGTTCCACTGCTCTATTATAGTAATGGAGTTTATCAGTTGTAAAATATATCTGCAATGGAGTGGTTCTCTAGAGAAACTTAAATATTTAATTTAACCCTATAATGCCAAATTTATCGTATTTGATACATACGGTTTCTGACATGTTTTGCATCTGACACCTTTTGCATAATTTAATGGTAAAAACTTTGCTCAAAATCCTAATGTACACAATCAGATATAGGCCTACCTGATAACAGCCAGTAGAAGACTAAACAAAAAATAATCTTGACTTATCACATAGTAATAAGTTATTAATATCAAAAATGTATTTCTGTTTTTTCCTTTTACATATTTTGTTAAAAGGGCAACTAAGGAATTCAAACAAAAAAAAAAGTAATTTTCTATTTTGTTTTTTTTCTTGGATCAGGCTTTAAAGGGTTAATTTTATTTAGGATACATATAGTTTGTTAATTTGATGCATGCTTTAGAAGCTATACTGAATTTACTGAATTTACAAACAGTAATATTACCACTCTTATGGTAATATTTATGGTAATATGTGCTTAAATTTGAGGTCAGAGTTAACCTTCTTTGGCAGTTGCGGTTGTGCAGCAATATGTTCCACTTACTTCTAACCAAGACGCTGTGTGCAGATGCAGACAAACCTTGTGGTTTCATCAAACCAGAGTTACGAACCAGCCCACCTGTTAACATTTATCTGTCTCCAAACATTATGCAGACATATCCGCATTGCATTTTAGATAAGAACTAAGAAACAGTAGGAAATAAAAGAGTTTTTTTAGCACCTTCAGAGGTAGCAGAGATCAATGAAGGTCGTCTGGAGGTGAACACAAACTGAAGGTAGGTTTCACCTGCAGGTCTGAAGGTGCTTTATCTATAAAAATTGAGGGAGCAAAAGTCTAACCTAGATCAGTAGTTCTTAGATCTCTCCGTTGCAGCGCACTTGATTCAAGTAATTAAAAAACAAGATTAGCAGACTTCAAAATGTATTTTCTTGAGTGACAGCAATACAGTGACAGTTTTCGTATTTAAGTGCTATAAAAGCCTGTTAATCATTGAGGAGCAATGTAAAGCATGCAGAGCAGACTATAACAACAGGAAATTCTGGCTGCGCATTTCTTTTTCTCCTACTGTGACACACTGAGCATTTACTACATTACTGGAGAATCTTAAAGGCTAGGTAAGTACATTAAAACAACTATGGCAGATTAATGTACACGCTTTACTTCAGAGAAGGTGATCACATAAACAAAAATTTTAAAAATTATTTTAATAAGAATAGGTACCAACTGGAGCTTTGATTTAATGTATTTTATGTTCATAGGTTTAAAAAGTGTTTTGTTTTGTGGTTTACTTCTTTTTTTCTTTTTACTTTGGTAAATATATTCACAGATTTATATTTTCCTAATCATTAGTGAAACATTCACTCATCAGTGAAACATTGCCTTTAGAAAACCGACATCATGTCTGCGACCGTGGCGAGAATGAGCAGCCAAATCGGATCAAAAGCACAATCATACACCATTTTTCAAATGCCAAGGGACCGTCTGCAAATTGGAAAAAACACAAAAATATGCTAAAGAAATCTTTAATAGTGTCATAAAGATGAGGTTTACTGTCATAAAAATCGTATGTGTGTATAGTGTCATATCTTGGAAAATAAAACTTTTTATTAGTGAAAACAAGGCCCAATACAACAGTTTGATTTATAAATCAACGTCTTTGAATAAAGGGCTTTGATTTTACATGTGGTGGTTCTACTCTAACGTTCAGGACCATCAAAATTACAGCAAACCTAAAGAACATATTCTTGATCAAACCTTAACACCTACTTTGAGAAAACATGCCACAGACATGACAGATATTCTCCAAATAACATTAAGGGTGTTACTTTTATTTTTGAGGTATTGTTATCCACAAAGTCGTTGCTGAATGTATAAGGCGACATAAAAATAACATCTACTCTACTTCACGTTTACTCCACAGCATTTGGCTTATTTTTACTAAATTCCCGGGACTTTTTTAGTCATGAAAACATTACAATGTCTTTCTTGTTTAAGTAGCAGCCAGGGCCGTATCTATCATTGAGGACACAGAGGTCATGTCCTTTTTTTTTTTTTTATATATATATTCATTGGCCTATTTGCCTAAATTGTGATAGAATAAACATAAATTACACTGAAACTGAATGTAAGACAATGATCTAAGTTTTCCATAAAACTGCGAGTTGAAGAGCCAAGAGTATCATGACTATCCAATAAAAACAGTAGCTCGAGGGTTTGGCACTATCGCTATAGTAACTGCCAAACACAGGCTGCAGACTTCGTTAATGAGTCTGTCGGTAATAGTAGTCACTGAAAAAAGGATCAAATTAAGCCCCATATGTAGGTGGAGAGCAGTTGTAGTTGTAGATGACTGTGAGAAAAACATGCATTCCATGAGGAAATATTTCAGCTCAGCGTATTACTCAGACGGCAAAGGAACATCGACCCAAAGTTTAATGATCTCCTTCAGTAACCGGTCATCAGTCAATTTCCACCGGTTGAGTCAATATTTATTATGCGATTGTCAGGGTTCAGTTGTGGTTTGAGGAACCAAATGCAGAGGCAGAGGCTGAGGAGATTTCTTGCAGCTTTAATGAAATAAACACAGGTAACAGAGGCGGGAATCCAAAAATCCAACATGAAAAATATAAAGCAAACCAGAACTATGGAGACATCTGGGGAAACAACACACGAGGAGCCAGGGAGAGATGAGGTNCCATGACAGTGCCCCCCACTTAAGGGCGGATCCCAGACGCCCTAAAATGTCCAGAAACACAAAATAACCAACCCATGGAGGGCGGAGGGGGAACCAGGAAGGAGGGCACGAAACATAAAACCAAACGCAGAGTCCAAATAAAAACCAAAACAACCCACCCAAGGTGGGCGGGGCAAACAGTCTCTGGAAGGCGGCCGTGAGTCTCCGGAGGGCGGTCGTGGGGCCGGAGGCGAGGCAGAGTCTCTGGAGGGCGGCCGTGGGGCCGGAGGCGAAGGAGGGCCCCAGGAGGAGGCCGGCGACGCAGGAGGGCCCCGGTAGGAGGCCAGCGACGCAAGAGGGCTCCGGTAGGAGGCCGGCGACGGAGGAGGGCCCCGGTAGGAGGCCAGCGACGCAAGAGGGCTCTGGTAGGAGCCCTCTTGCGTCGCCGGAGCTTGGAGCTCCGGCGACGGAGGAGGGCCTCAGACGGAGGAGGCCGGCGGCGATGCCGTCTCTGACGGAGGAGGGCCACTGGAGGAGGCCGGCGACGGAGGAGGGCCTCTGACGGAGGAGGCCAGCAGCGACGCCGTCTCTGACGAAGGAGGGCCTCTGGAGGAGGCCGGTGATGGAGGAGGGCCTCTGACGGAGGAGGCCGGCAGCGATGCCGTCTCTGACGGAGGAGGGCCTCTGGAGGAGGCCGGCGTCGACGCCGTCTCTGACGAAGGAGGGCCTCTGAAGGAGGCTGGTGACGGAGGAGGGCCTCTGACGGAGGAGGCTGGCGAAGACGCCATCTCAGACGGAGCAGCAGCCTTGGGGGCCGCCGTCTCAGGAACAGCCTCAGAGGAGGCTTGGAGTGCCAGCTGAGGGGCCTTGGAGGCTTGGAGAGACCGCTGAGGGGCCTTGGAGGCTTGGAGCGCCCGCTGAGGGCTCGTGGAGGCTTGGAGCGACCGCTGAGGGGCCTTGGAGGCTTGGAGAGACCGCTGAGGGCTCGTGGAGGCTTGGAGAGACCGCTGAGGGGCCT